GAAGCCGAAAGCGAAACAGACGGCATGAACATCTCGTAAGGCACGAGAGTTAACAGCGATGTGCAGTATCTGTAAGCTTGTCGTGATAAACGCGCAGTCACATTATTTCACCGCACAGTTCGTTGTTAAAAGAGCCGCACGAGGAAGTGTCGCTGCGGTTCCTACTGCATGTGTACAGGGAAGAGTGACGTTTCTAAAAATCATGTTTCTAAAAGCGATAAAAATGAATGGTTCTGCGAATTTGAATGGAACTGAAATAAGTGTCGTAGAACTAGCCGAAGTGGTACAAAATATTGGGTTCCGGTTGATTCTTTTCACAGAAGCCGGTAACGAATTATCCAGAATGAATAAATCTTGTTACAGACGTGTATAATAGGTAGGCCCCTGTTCTACGCAATTCATGAGTTTCATTCAAATCCATGGGGCCCCTCGTTTACGAAACGTGATTTGTTTTGCGGCAATCTGTACATGGGTTTTCATACATGCATACGCACGCGCGCCACACATACGCACACACCACCACCACCACCGCCGCCGCCGCCGCCAGAAATCGATTGACGTAAGGGAAGAAAAGTGCGTTCTTTTCTTTCGATGAATTGATGTGGCGTTACGGTTATTTCGCAGGACAAACAATTCGCCTGTTCACTGAGGGCAGATCGCCGACAGTTAGATCCTCTTAAAAAGTGATTATGTTGTAGCCCTTGTGAAGCCTCAGGTTCGTCCAAATAATATATACATTTTCAGTTCATACCCCACATAGAACACGCTGTGCCTTAATTACAAAGGTCAGCCAGTTAATGCTGTTTGTTATGAGAATCATTGGAAAAATGAATACAATCTCGGGCCAAAATGGAGAATATTATTAGTTGTAAAGTAAGGTAAAATAACGTTAAACCCGGGCTTTAATTAAGTATGACTCCGGGAAGACGCATGATGCATTTACAGGTTACCATAGAGTTCACCCTCCGCACGTCTTCCATAGGCAGGAAGTTAGTAAAGGCGGGCTTTCTTTGGTACGTGGATTCCCATGAGCCGTCGCTTTTCTTCCGACTGTGTTTGCAGCAGGATACTTAGACCTCAAAGAATGCAGTCGCAATTTGAGAAGGGGGCAGGGATCACATGCACTATCGCGCAGCACTGCTGAAGTTGTAATTTCCGTCAGTGTTGCGATGTAGGGCGTTGGAAGGGGGTTGCTACTCGTAATAAAGGCAATAAAGGATTTTTAAAGTGGTTGGAAAACTGTGCGCACTGAGAAGACCCATCGGTATCTGAAAGTAAGATACAAAACACTGGGGTCGTTGGTTCGAGTCTTGCTCTAGACATCGATATGTCCTGTGTAGGCATTGTCACTTGCGTTCTACTAGCAACTGTTTGAACAATTCCAAACTGTAATAATATATGAACGGGAACGATACGGAGGGACCGGCCGACGCATGGCATCTGTTTCTGAGAGGAAATGTAGGTAGTTAATTGAATAAAACTGTAACTCGGTGCCTTGGAGGATAAAATGCGGTTGTCCGGTGTTTTGTGCTATGCAGAATGTTGATAATCCCTGGCCAGGTGGTGAGGTAGGTGTTCACTTTGGGACACCTCCTTGTTGTTTTCTTTTAAGGTACTAAATTTAGAGTTAGATACGCGAGGCGAGGTGACGTAATTACATTGGGAGCTGAATACGCAAAATGTAATTAGCTGTAGAAATGTATGATGAAAGTAACGAGGGAAGGACCGCGTGTATTTTCAGTGGATTGGGTTTGACGTCACGGCGCTGGCTCTGAAGTTAATAGCCATTTCGCAGGAATGTACACAGGTTCGAAACAAGCAACACGCCATCTTGGGCGTCGGTATCACTTTGGAGTTTAACATTGACGCAGATTGTAGTGTGTATATATCTCGTATTCGGGGAATCCGGGTTCATATCTCCGTCTGGAGATCAACTATCTTGCCAGATTTCGTGGTTTTCCTGAGTCCTTCCAGGCAGATGTACAGTACGCCAGATTAGGCCACCATCACTTTCTTGCAGACCTTTTCCTCTTCGTTATTTAGTGGACATTTTAGTCATTCCACGTTATGTTATCTGAATTGTTAAAAGCGTTGTTAAATCATAAAGACCGTAACAAAATATACTGCCAGTTGGTTTTCCTTTTCACTCTGTGATATGTCTGATATAGATAATGTTGACTGTCAGCAAGTCAGACAACCAATGTGTCCGAAATTGGGCAGAAGGACCGCAGAGCAATAAACGCGACTTATTTCTACTTTTGTTTCCAGAGGCCATTGTATTCCAATTTTCGCTGCCTAGTCGGCAGCACTGAATGAGTGTATCTGCCCTCAAGCCTTGTTCGCGCTTTCCCTCCCGCCTTAACCGAACCTGCTCCTATTACGTCTTCGTTTTGTATTATCATTTTAGTAGAACGTAGTCGTTTGCCGGTTGTTGGTTGGAATGGTTGTTTCAGGCGTGGTATATTTCTCGGCCGTTCAGTAGGCCGATTTATGTTCTTGTGTAGTAGAATTACGTTCATGATATATATTGTCAGAATCCATGGTGAGAGGTTACGTGTGTTGATTTGGCGAACTCGGGAAGCCCCGTCGTTTGACTGGGCAGCCAATGCAAAATACAGACTCACCAAACAGCAGTAGTCTATAATTATTAAGTTTTAATTGCCTTTTATGAAGTTTCTTCATACCATATTGTGAAGGACAATTTTTTCTATACATGGTGTGCCGTTTGACAAAGTAAGTACGGTCACTGACGTTCACACGCGAATTTAATTAGCCCGATATTCCACCTAACTTTGCCGACAAGCGTCGGTCGCTCGGTATAATTCACTTGCGGACTAAAACCACGGAGTTTGTTTGTTTGTTTGTTTGTATGTATATTCTACCTACTTCAATATGTATACAGTTTAATAATGCATTATAAATTTCGATTTATGCTGTTAAATGTAAGATAGTGAATTGTTGGATGTCAGTGACATGTTGCATGTCTAGTAGCAGGGACGGTTGGGGCAGCGTAGTATCTGTTACAGGTTGTACTACCGCTGTTCGGTTCCCGGAAAGGATTTGCACAGGCACTACTGTCCCTCGGTGTGCGTGCAGCTCTTGATCCGCCGAACGGATTTGTATGAAATTTTATGTTGGAGAATTTTAAGGAGAGTTGGCGAGTCATGACAGGCCGTGTCTAGATAGGATGGGTTTAAGGAATGATCGCTTTACTTGAAGACAATAAATGCGTTTCTGCACGATCTCGCCAAATATTAATTATCAGGGAGAAAAATGTTTGGAAAAATTAAGCGCATGTTATTCCCATTATATTTTCACTACAAATCTTAACAGTTGTCGAGATCATGAAAAGTTGTGAGTACGTCTCCAGCCTGTGTGTTATCATCGTCTGTGAACACGATCATAATTGAGAAAGCAATAAAGCATGTCTTTGTTAAGTTTAAACTTAATTAAAATTGGGCTTATTTTATTTCTTTTATGTGGCACAGTTCAGATATTTGGGAACAACGATAACAGATCAAAATCTGATTGAGGAGGAAATTAAGAGGAGATTGAACTTGGGTAATGCTTGCTACCATTCAGCCCAGAACCTTTTGTCTTCTCAACTGCTGTCTAAAAACAAAAATTAGAATAGACAGAACTATAATTTTGCCTGTGGTTCTGTATGGGTATCAAACTTGGTCTCTGACATTAAGGGAGGAACATAGACTGAGGATGTTTGAGAACAGGGAGTTGATGAGAATATATGGACCGGAGAGAGATGAAGTGACAGGAGGTTGGAGAAAACTGCATAATGAGGAGCTTCAGAACTTATACTCTTCTCCAAGTATAATTTGAATGATCAAGTCAAGGAGGATGAGGTGGGCAGGGCATGTAGCACAAATGGGGGGAATGCGTATAGGATATTGGTGGGAAAGCCAGAAGGAAAGAGACCACTGGTAAGACCAAGGCGTAGGTGGGTGGACAATATTAAAATGGATCTTAGAGAGAGAGAGGATGGGATGGTATTGATTGGATAGATATGGCTCAGGATATGGACCAGTGGAGGGCTCTTGTGAACACGGTAATGAACCTTTGGGTTCCGTAAAATGCTGGGAAATTCTTGAGTAGCTGCAGAAGTGGCGGCTCCTCCAGAAGGGCTCAGCTCCACAAATGAGTGAATCACACATGTCTTTTGTATTTTAATTGCTGTCCATAAATAACTGAAGTCACATAGTAAGGGGAGAGTACTCACCAACAACTTAAATTTGGCCAAAGATTTTGTGTTTAGTTAACCTGTTGTTCCCATGGGCCCTGCCACTTAGTAAACACAGTAGTTGCTGTAGGCTGTGCCACTTGCAACCTGAAACAGTTCTGTAAGCCTTGCTACACTTTTCTTTTTACTGCACCACATTTTATGATGAAATAGCACATTATAAAGCAATTATTATGTTTCTGGACATTATCCATCATCCTGTTTTTAGTTAGACAACATTTCAGGGACTGGATTCTGTCTCCATCTTCACCAAAACCTGTTGGGTTTAGTCCCCATCTCTCAGAACCGTAGTAGTTTCTGTTGACTTATTTGCTAGTCCCGTGCTCTCTCACGTGAAGAATGTTCTGAAACACTGAATGTGTAGTGACTGCTTTTGTCTGGGTACAATCCGGTATAGCGTTCACTGCAGTGTCGAGATGTAAGGTAACTGACTGAGTGATCATGTTCGTATTCCATTGATGGAGTTTCTGGCATTGTGAATTGACACAAATTGAATTTGGTGGTCTGAAGATGAAATGTCATAGCAACGCTCATTTATGTATCAGTTCATCATACTTCGAAAAGTATATCAGAATTTAAGTTCCTTCGTGTTTTGTTCTTATGCGCCTCCACAAGGACCGTTGTTAATGTGTAATTTGATGGACCTACATTACTTCCCTAAGGTTATGCGTGTCAGTGAAGTTTACTTTGCAATCTGCATTTCATTGTTTGTTAAGCACACATTACAGTTCATGATTACATGCAGGTTGGTTGATCAGACAATTCAGGCTGCAGTTGGAGATGGCAATTTGCACCTGTTTGCTGATGCCCCTCCACACAAAACACCTTTAGAATCTGGGGGACCAGTTGAGGTAGTGGCCACACCCAGTAGTGGCCAGAAACAGCAGCACCAACATCGCAAGAGGAAAGAACGTCATGAGAGCTTCAACTCCCAAAATCAAGAGAGAAAAGTTATAAGGTACCATCATTCACTGATTTGTTCTGTTCTGTTGCCCAGACAAGTTCATCATCAGATCAGGTTTTCAGATATGCTTGTTTACTCCATAGCATTATGGAACCCTAAATCTTACTGCTGTTGCAATAGAAATCGTATCATGGACCAGCCCAGTTAGTCAAACTTAACTGTGACATACTATTTCTCAAGTAATTTAAAATAATTGTGTTTCTTGTATGAGTTGTAAGGAGGGGTGCGTCAAATCAGATAAGTTTCTGAGTAAATTTTGTGACTATTACCCAGTAATAAAATGCTAGGTGAAATTTTGATCTGTGGTGAAATTAGACATTGAAGTGCATAACACAATTTATGGTCGTGTCCAGGAGTCCGCAAAGCTTTGTGCATAACATTGTTAATAAATCATACAGGCAGTGTTTCAAAATTCTGCATACACCATGTAACTTGTGACCATTGTTACATTCCCTGAAATTGTAAGAGATCAGTTTTCTGCAGTACATGTGAAAGTGTCTCTAACAAAAGGTGCGGAACCCCAGAAAACCATTCTGTGTTGCTGTATGGGCCCTCATATGAACACATTCCACAAGGAAGGTAAATTTGCTTGGCTTGACTTGACACATGGAGTGTGCCAGAGGCATGGAAATCATGTGCAAGATGGCTTTGGTTTTGTGGCATCTTAGTGAGTCAGACTGCAGTTAACTCGACATATGTACTGTACAGTAGGAATCCCTGTATTGAAATGTTCATGTCACTTACGGTTCTATTATAAGTAGTTCTGCTTGCTTGGTGTTACGTTCAGGGAATGTCGGTGTCCCCCGTGAATATGATGATGCAGCTTGTAAATTAGAGTACTTTTCCATGAAGGCAGACCATGAAGTAGCTATTTAAAAAAGTGCCCATAAGATGATATTTGTGATTATATGTTATTGGAATGTAGATTATACCATCTCATGCAATTCACATCTAAGAAAATAACTACATATTTTTCTTTCTCCTGAGGTGTAAAATGAATGTGTGAAAGTTGTGAAAGAAATGTATTTCTAAAAATATTTTTCCTTCTCTGTGTCAGCAAATGACAGTAAAGAGTGTAACTTTATTCATTCTGGTCTGTCACACTGGTTAAATATTATAGAATGATTTGACAACGCTGTCCAGTTTATATGAAAGCCTTTACATGCTTCTGAAGATGGTTATAATTGACTAAAACATGTAAAGACATTCATATAAATATACATTTGAGTCACATTGGAAGGTGTTGTCAAATCAATCCATAAGACAGTAAAGAATTCTGAACAGAGTTCAGATATGTTGGCTGCAAAGTCAGGTAACAACATTGCCATTCCTGAGTGAATGTTGTGGTTGAGTGATTAGTTCTCCTGCTTTGTAATAGGAGGTTACAGGTTCAGTTTGTAGCCCAGAGACAAGTCATTTTGATGGAATTCTTTTTGTCAGTCTCTCCAGGGAAATGCTGGCAGGGTGCTGTGCCAAGGCCATGACTGCCCCATTTTGCATTTTAGTAAGAGTTGTCATACTGCTTGGTGCTTCATAATCTGTGCACTTAAAACAGCTGTTAAAAAAGAACCAGTCACAGTTTTATTAACCATACTCATAGCAGATAATTTCAACATAATTATTAATGCTCTTGCTGCTGTTACAGAAGTAATTTAACTGAAGATGTATTGTTCATTAGATCAAATTCAGAAGAGAGGCCCCTTGAAGAAAGCAGTGGTAACTGTAAGGACAGTATTCGTCGTGTTAGTAGCCATGAAGATTTTTCACAAGTTAAGGTCAGCAGCAAGAATAACAACAATATCAACAAAACAAACAGTGGCAAAAGTTTCCTCACAGAAGTGATTGATCCTACGGTGGTTCATGGAGTGGTGAGTTCATCATCTTCATGATACTCAAGAAAATGTGTAAATAATGTTGCATAATGTTTGAACCAGATTCATAAAGTGACTTTATAACACAGTAGACCCCTGATATAAAGTGTTTCAGCTCCTCTGTTATGAGTGAAATTTATATTTATCAAATTTTGGATCCCTGTTACTGTCCTGTGCTGTAACTTCACCAACAGCTGGGTGGTCAAGCAGGTAAAAGGGATACTCATCACATTTCGCTGTGTGAACAAAATGATTTCAAGTTAGGGAAAAAAGAAACATGCAGCCTGTTTAAAGTGATACCCTCTGTACCTGCAAACTGCAGTGTAGTCTTACTGTAACTGGAACATTTCATACAAGTTTGCATGATTGTACAGCGGGACATGATCAAAGTCATGAGATATCTGAATCTACGGTGTAATGAGGTCCCACTGTACTAACAAAATCCTTGTAAGTACTAATTTGGCACTTGTTAAATCATTCTGTTAACCCAGAAGCTCTCCATTGGTGACTGGATGTGCATATGCTACGTTTCACAATACAAAACAAGATGTGAGGCGAAGTTTAACTTTATGTTTTCAGCGAAACGGTGGCCTGCCTCTCCATGAGCGCAACTCCGCTTGTATCTCCACACCCAAAGCGACGCCTGCATTCAACAGTGACAGTGAGTCGGCACCAGTGGTCCCAGTGGTGGTGGCTGAGTTTTTTGATGACAATGAACATGAAAGGAGACGAAGTTCAGAGCGATTTGCTAGAGCAGCTGCTCCCAGAGGGCGGAGAAATATGGCTCGGAGACGAAGACTTGTTCACAAGAGCTCCAAAATTTCGGCTGAAGATATGGATGGAGGAGGATCCTCGAAGGTGCGTTCTTTTTCCTGCAAAAGATCGACTAGAATCATCGCTGCTAACATTCAGTTAAGAATATTAATCAAGAGGTGATACATGATCTCCACATTGAATGTCAGTTTTAAAATAAATTTTGTTAATAAATCTTTTCCTCTGTTATGGACACATATTATAAATTTGCTTGTAGGAGAATGAGGATGAAGAAGAACATGCTACCAGTTCTCGAATATCACATGCCCCTATTTTGGTCAGTAGCACCGTGTCTGATGATGATGCCAGTTCAAATTCAAGCTCCGCACATTCCTTTCTGCAGTTGCACCCCCAGGTAAATATGCTGTATTCAGTTATTCAGTATTAGGGGGGTGGGTTTCCCCATGCACTGCGACTAGTAATCTATTGTACGTCCCCCTTTAATTTCTACTGTCGCCATACCCTACCGGTACTGGTGCTCGCTATCAGCCCCTTTCTGCCAGCGAGGTTGGCCCTCTTCTGGCAGTGGTACCCGATAAATTCCCCATCTACCGGAGGCATTGGAAACTACTTGGGTGGGAAATTTTTGCCTAATTTTTGCTCAGAGGTCTCTAGGATCTTTTATGTGCTGTAAATCTACGACACGGGACCCACGGCTTAAAGTCCCTCCTGGAGGACTTGTTCCCTGAATTTTTCCGCCCTTAAAAATTCCACGACCTCCGCCGGGTTTGAACCTGCATACCTTGAATCATGAGGTGGGAACGTTACCCCTAGACTACGGAGGCCGCTTAAATATGCTGTAGGTATATATGTTTGTTTATGCTTCTGGATGATGAATTCCTCACGTCCATCAGGTAAGATGTGTGAACCTAGATTTCTTTGTCACTCCATACATTTGCTACATTTTGTGGACTTTTCAAAGAAATTTGTTCAATTCCATATACTCATGCTCAGTGTTTGTTTATCAGAGTTTATTTTCCCACCAGTTTCTTAATATGCTCGCTCATCCATTTTTTGTTTGACGCATGATTGTGAAGGGGTTTGAAAAGTAGATTTTAACTTCAATATTTATTTGTTTTTCTTTCAATAATTGTGGAGCACTGGTATTAGTTTTCAGTCAGTGTATATTATGGCTTTGATACAGGTACTTATCTCTTGATAATGAACAGAATACTCAAATACAGTATTGTGGAAACGTGACTACAAGTAGTAGTATCATACTGATAGGCTTTATCCCAATTTGAGACCATTCTGCCCTCTGCTGTCACATGTTTTGATGTATGTCTCTTTCATAGCTGTTTTCCTATTTCACAACAGGAACGAGATCGATCCCCGTCTCCTTCTCCGAGTCCTTGCACGCCCCCCCTGGATCTGGCAACTCTGCATCAGCAGGTTGACTGTAGTGAGCCACTGACGAGCTTGGGGAACTGGAGTTTCGCCCATAGACAGCCGGTAAGCAGATAGCATCAGACAGGAGGAGCAGTGTTTTTTCAGATGGGCAGAAATAATTGATAGTATTTTAAGCACTTATGTTCTTGAAAGCCTGCTACTTTCCATGGAAGTGTAAAATAAATGAATTGTTTATTTTTATATTCAGAATGAGGTGTTTAGGTTGAATTTATAAAAAGTAGATTAATTTGCATGAAAGTAAACCTTTTTGGTTACATAAGAAATGAAACTGAACTGACTGACAGTTTAATTGAATGACATTTGTCTTGAGTTTGAAATTGTAACATATTTGTTCATAATCTTGTGAGTAATGATAAGTTTCCTAAAAATAGGCATAGATATTAGTAGCACATGAGTTATGGAAATGTGAGTAGGGTCACACTAAATTTGTTGTTCTGAGGCAATATCTTACCAGTGGAAATCTTCTAAGAATATGGGCAGATGTGTTTGCTGTTAGCCTTTATGGCAAAACAGTATCAGCTTTGATTGCTTTTCTATGTACATCACTGCCGAATGGCTGAGCAGTAGTTAGTAGTCTGAAGATTTCACTGCAAACAAATTATTATGAAAATTCATTATGCCATTCCTGGTGAAGCTTGCTTTATCTGTAAATAGCAGTGAGATACAGAACAAGATTAGCTCCTCATTTATGCAGCAGTCATTGACAGAATGCCTTTCTTCTTCGAAAATAGGCCAGACTAAGACCCTGGAAAAGGTGACCAACTTGGATACAAGGCTTCTCTCTAGTCACATGATGAACCTTCATGTCATTTTGTAGGTCAGACTGCAAAACAAATATGGGCATTAAGGGAAAGAAGAAGAAGAAGAAGGTGAATGTAAACGATTGAGCCCTCTTCTCATTTCCAAATTGGTCTTCATAGAGCAGTGTTATCACTTCATATTGCAAGCAGAAGGAGCCAGTGACATTGAGAAGTAAGATCTAAAAGTTTGTGACGATGGTATATTGCTACAAGTATCATGTTTTTGGACATTATCCATGGTCTTGTTCATTTTCTAAAAGCCGCCCTGTTTCTTTAAAAAAAAAAACGTTTCGGAGCCTGGATTCTGTCCCTTGTCCTCAGGTAAAACCTACTCACTTGGGTCCAATAGATAGAGCTAGCTCCTATCTCCAGTCCCCAAAACATTGTGTTTTTTAAAAGAAACAGGACGGCTTTTAGAAAATGGACAAGACGATTGAGAATGTCCAGAAACATAATACTCGTGACATAGAGAAGGCTCTGGATATGTTGCAGGATGCATGAAGATAATATTTCTAATGAGGAGGCATGTGGCTGCATCTGTTTCCATTAAATTGTCTTTATATTGTGTTCTAGGAGGAAGAGTTGGTAAGCAGTCAAGTGATGCTTTCTCCGCGAAACTCCATGATTCTTACCAGACGAGTTTACTTGGATCCTAATGTACCTCCTTCTCCACCTCATGAGCATAATGCCCCAATTGCAAGAAATCCTGGTGTGTCTGGCCATTTGGACAGTGAGGCCAGGCTCAAGCATCTCTCTAAGCAAATGAATAGGTGTGTGTAGAAGAGAACAGCAGGTTTTGAGCCATTGTATCATCAGCCTACTTGTTGCACTGCACAGGGTGCTGCCCTAAACCACATCATGCATTTTTAGCCACCGAGTGGCTTGAGAATAACTTGCTCTCTGTTCAGTAAAGCTCAGCATACAAACAGTTGGTGTTTTGTTATCTTGCATGTCTCTGTAGGTGGGGTTGAGATGTAAAAAAGGGGGGCCGTTGAGTAGGCACCTGAGTTTCAGTCCAGACATGAAGGAAATTAGAATAATGTTTTCTTACTATCTTATGAAAATATTATGCCACAAGTTCTGTACCACTGTTTGTCATGATACAGTTTTATTTAATGGTAATCTGTGAGACTAATCGCAGTAATGCAGTTCGTTTATATTTGCAGCTTAAAAAAGAAGCTTAAACATTATGAAGAAGAATTTGAACGAGAATATGGTTACCGCCCTTCACATGCTGATAAAATGGGAAATAGGGATATTAAAAAGATGTATACAGAGATAAACAAGTTGCGCAAAGAAGTTAAGTGTAAGTTTTCTTAATAAACTCTCACTTGTTGGGGATAAATCTGGTCTTATCATGAGTATTACTGTCTTCTCAGATGTGATGTTATGGAGTTTGTGTGCTACACTTTGTGATTTCACATTCCAGTTAATGCCAACAGAACCTCATGTTCTTTATTTCAAAGCCTTGTAATACTACTTAATGAGCGAGAAGAGGGAGCTTCATGTTAGACAGTGTATCAGATGTACATGGATTTGTGTTGAGGAGATTAAATGTTTTCAGAATTATAATGTATTGTTTATGTAATTCACTTCGGTGATTTTGACAAAAAGAGATTTAGAACTATCAGCCTGGTGACTGCAAAAACTTTCACTAAACACCAGATACAACATCAGTTATACTGTAGTCAAATCAGTGTGCAATAATTTTTTTTTCAAAAATGACCTGCTTGGATTGGCAAGTACTTCTGGATATGGTTCATGTATGTATTTCTAGTTTACATTTGATGCATTCTTGTCAGTTTGTTTACAACAAATAACAATGCTTGTTGTATACAATATTTTGGTCCTTTCTTGTCTGTGCCTGTTGCAGAAACTTGTTCATACTGTGTGTTGATTGTGTCTTTAAATAAAATTACTGTCTGTTGCAAACATCTGTGGCTTTCTCTCACAAAGTAGGACTAGTTTTGAATGTATACTTAACAGTTTTATATTTATATGTTGACAGTATTTATGATGTGTCTTCACAGGTCTTAAAGAAGATCCACATTGTGTGATGATGCAAAGCTCAACAAAAACACATGAATCTCTGGCTCAAGGCACTGATGATCAGAACTGTAACAGTGATAAGACACCCAGTATGGAAGAAAAGTTAAAGGAAGTTGAAAAGGTGAGGATTACATTTGAATCTGTTTACCCCAACATGACCTTTTTAAGCTGGAAAATGAGCCTCAGTACAATCATAATTACAATTAAAGAACATAGCTCATGATATTAAACAATTTAAATTTGCTTTAAAAAGATTTCTACTCCTAAATTCATTTTACTCATTGGAGGAATATTTTAACCACAATATTGATCAAAGTTCCTGGATCATTATTACATGCTTAATGAATAGCAATATAGTTCATACTTGTAAGATTTGAGGCTTTCACGGCGGTGACTATGAAGAAAGCAGTGTTCTGGGATTTGGCACCGTGGTTAACACCACATATACACGGCGCCAAATCCCAGAAGACTGCTTTCTTCATATTTCATACTTGATTATTGCGGTGTTGTTCATTGATAGTTTGACGCATGCTTGAAGACACACACATTGCATAGTGGTTGTCTTGACAGTGTGTGTTTCAGTGTGTTTGTCTCCAGGCAAGCCACATAATCTGTTTTGTTGTCACTGATTATTTTGGTTTACCAGCCAAGTAAGGCTCAATGAGTGCAAATGAATGAATGAATGAATGAATGAATGAATGAATAGATTATAGCCAGTGAGATAAAATAATTGTATACTAGTAATTAAATTGTACTCATTGGAAGAATATTTTTATCTTTGTTGTTATCGTCCCGCTTGCTGTTTTTTGACTGTATTTTACTGTATTCATTAGTCTCCCTTATGGGGATCTATGGATCTATGATGTATGAGTGGAGATTGCTTGCTTGCTTTTACTTACATATTTTATAACCTCTAACGATGTACTCATTGACACTGTTTTTGACAAAAGGCTCAAATTGTGATGCAGAACTGTACATTTAACTTATATTTATATAATTTAATTAGACTTATTGTACAGATGTCATTGTATTTATATTGTATTTGACTTGTTCCACATCCTATGGTGTCTACCTGTATCTGGATATACAGAATGTAAATAAATTGAACAATTGAACAAATACACCATGTTACACACTGCATTGTCTGGAAAGATACTTGAAATAGGCTGAATTTGATGTGTATTGGAAGCTGCAGTAGATGTAATTGGGCTGTAAATCTTGCATTGAATAAATTGGTCATGTGATTCCAGTGTATCATGGTGGACAGATGTTCAACATTATACATCTGAATTCATTCGAACATTTTCACATTTTAGGCAAAAAGAAATGCACAGATTCACGAATAATTTGCAGCTCAGTAATTGTATACGGTATTTGTAATTGATTATTATGAAGGTATAATAAGAATTTTCAGGTCGGAGATTAAGAAGACATGTAGGGCAGTCAATTTTGTATTTGCCAGTTGAGCAAGTACTACTTAGACTATTTTAGGACAAAATGTTTAAGTGCTGAGGAAGTTGAAAGTACTAAGTAATTGTTTTACAGGTAAATTATTAGAAAGTGTGATAAAAATGATGCATTTGGTTTAATCTTCCTTTCCTTATTATTTTTAATACAGCATTTATCAGAGAAACGGTCACTTGCGGGAAGATCCGAAAACCTGGATGAGCTTAGCAGGGAGCAGCTTTTGGATGAGAAACTTGCAGTGCAGAAAGCTTTGCTGTATCTGGAAGGCATATTTGGTCGTCCTGTCACTAGAGGAGACAGGGATCTGGTGCGACCCTTATATGACAGATACAGGGCACTCAAGCGTCTTGTAATCCGTTCAGGACCAGTAAGTAGAACGTGTGACCCTTATTCGACAGGTGCACAACACTCAGTCGTAATCTGTTCAGAGCTAACATGTTACTAGAAGTTTTTTGCCATAAGGGCTTAGTTTGCGCATCTGTTTGCAGTGGTCAGACTGCTCTCCTTAGCACTGTGGTGAAGGGAAGAGCAGTGATGAGTCTCCACAGGTGAATTGCAAGCATATCAGGTTACATGTATCAAAAACTGTTTATCAGATTTTTCTGTTGACATACCAGGCTTTCCAGTAGGCAGTTCATTTTTTTTTTTTGCACAGAAACAGGAAATTGATTCTTGACATCTAGGAACCAAAATAATACCTAGTTTGCTAGCCATTCATTGCTTTGTCTCTTGTATCCGAGTTCTGTTTACTGTTCATGTCTTAATCTCTTATGATTTGGTAAAAATTTGCGATGATGATTGACTCATTACAACAACGTTATATTAGACATTGCTTAAAATTGCTTAAAATATTTTGGATATATGTAAACTTCAAGAATTTGGAATTCTCATTAATTAATTTATCATTTTTATAATGTTATTCAAATACAAGTTTTTGATGCTTACATGTTCATGTGCATCATGATAATTTTGGCAGCCACCACTAGCAGTGCTATCATGCTTCATGCAGATGCCGTACAGTAGAGGACAGTTGAAGTTATCACATTTGGGTATCTATCCAAAATCTTTCACCCATATCACTTGATCATCTGAAAAGACTCGCATGCAGGAACCATGATGGGACTGTATTGTGTTTCTGTAAGAGTTTTTTTAATGCACTTGGCAGACCGCTTTCCCTCACACATGCTGGCTGACAAGAAAGTCTGCTGTAATTGGTTTTACTTCCATGTTGGGTGATTTGTTGTCATTGTACTGATAACTTTTTTCATTTGCTTATACTTGCTGTAGCAGGTACAGGTGTCATACCTGGTGCCCTGTGAATGCTACCAGAAACTGAAGCTTTGCCTTGGCTGGCAAGATACAGACATTACATTCATTGTTTTCAAAACATTTGAATGCTTCATCTAGTTAGAAAACATTTATCCCAAATGCAGAGCAAGATCTGTTTAGATTGTGGGCTTATGACATTGCGCAGTCTTTTGAGGTTGGTATCAAGTCAGATGAATGTGCTGCGTCCACCCATGTGGCATATGGGGGATGAATGTTCCTCTAAAACACTGGTTCCCACCTACTGCCAGTCTACACCATGTCAACACTGCACTGCAGAGAAGCGTCAGATCCCCTGCAAAATCATGTGCAGTTAACCCTCGCTCTTCTGGAGTAATTGACGGAGAGAGGGCATCTGGATTAAGCTATAATTCAGATTAGTGAAGCAAGAGATAGTTGTAAAAGACCAGAATTTTAGATCACAAATAAAAGGAAAATATAATGATATGAGTAGTGCTTATGAAAATATATAACAAAGTACCACTGTACAGTCTTTATTTAAAAACTGTAAAAAGACAGTGCACTTATTCTTCGATAGAAGACTCAGAAATTGTGCTTGGTTCCAAATGTAGTGATGTATGTTTGAACAAACTGTCAAGTTTTGTCTGAACAGATAAGTGCCTTATCTGCCTTCCTAAGTGCTGTGTGTCCTTTGAAGTATGTAGTCGACTGTGAACAGCATTTTGATATTTTGATCCAGATTAGCAAGGGTTTACTGTAAGTAGTCAACAACAAACACCATGGGCAGATTTACCGAAGGAAACATCTGTCTGAATAACAAGGTGGATCAGTGCTGTTTCTGTCATTGGATGGTTATTCAATTTTCATTTGAAATTCCTTCAGATTTCCATTGATTGCTCAGTAACATTAAGCAAATTAATCAGTAATACACAAATTATCTAAGTTCCAGTGATTGTCTATATTTCTTTTCAGTCAAAGCTGAAAGACTGTGTGTCAGAGCTGGCAACCATTTTGGAACATGAAACAATGGACTTCACTAGCTCTCCACCATCTCTTTCAATACAAGAAGACACACCAGAAACATCAACTGCCACTGCAAATGCTGATGTTCCATTGAAGCTTCAGCAACCACAGGAAACTTCAGATTCTCTGTGGGAAAATTTACACTCCCTTCCGCTGTAAGTTTTCGTGGTATGCAGTGTTGTAAGTTCTCCGTGTGAAATTGATGAAATCAACGAACTTTGAAAAGTAGGTTCTGTATATTTTCACACTCCAGTGATGGATGATAACTTGACTCATGATTTTGTGCAGCAGTTGGCAATACTGGTGAGTTGGTGTATGATGCATCACATGATTTATCATAGTATTGTGGTAGCAGTTGTCAAGACTAAGTGTACTTTGTGTGGCTGCAGCAAGTGGTTAATTTGCATTGTGTTTTAACATGGGTATGCAGTATTTATGTAATTTTGTAGTCTTACTCAGTGCTCTGTAAAACAGAACACACATTCTCTTCCAGGAAAGTTCAGTGTATGAAATTTGGTACACTAATATGAAAGTAGTAAATAAATCCCCCAAGAAACATTTTCTTGAAGAAAATACTTTTACCCTGATATGTAAAATTCAACATACAAAGTGATTAATATGCACAAGTGGTGTAAGTGACATTTATGAGAGGTGAAAGTGGTTGTATTCCAAACATCAGTGGTACGTAAATTGTATGAATGGTGTAAACATCAGCAGTAATACTAGCAACTGAAATGCACTGTAACGAGTTACAGATTAGAAATTTACACCAGATTTGAAATTTTAATTTTATCACATAAATCGGAAAGAAATGGATTGTAGGAAGCAAACTCGAAGGAAAATTTCTTTCAGACTGATGTATGTTCTACAAGGTTGTTTCAAAGTAGATTTGTTGTGTGAGGATTTTTCTTGCAAGTCCTTGCATGTTCAGCATTTCTGACATGCTGCTGTTAGAAGCTCATCAAAAAAGGGCTGAAAATTCAAGTCAGCTGATGTAAAAATAAAACAAGTTCTGAATAACCCAGAATGTATAGCTGGACTGGGGGGGGGGGGAAATATATGCTTCATATGTTATATTTTAATTCATTATTTTCAGAATTATAACCAACTCTCCTATAATAAGTAATACTTTATTTAGACTGCCAAATCTAGCATTCAAACAGACAGTTAATGTAATTACATATATAACATGTAATTTCTTACTGGATAATAAATTTATTTAAATATTTTAGGTCTGAATTGTTAGATCAACAGAGGACAACTCGTGAAGAGAAGAAACGACTTCGGCGCTCGCTTCGAGAGTTTGAAGAAGATTTCCAGCATCGAACAGGGAAAAAGCTTCAACGAGAAGATCGCATCCCCATGGAGAGTACTTACATTGCCTACAAGCAGGCCAAGGCAAAGCTACGGCTTTTGGAGGCTTTAGTAACGAAACAGACTTAAAGTGGTCTGGTAATACAAATTAAAGAAAGAGATGTGATTAGTATATAATAGATGGTATTGTTCAAAGCGGTTCCAGACAGTGCTCTTGTAAAGCAGGAACATGCAAGAACTAGCTGAAACAATGAGGGGGAATGATTGCACAGGAAGTTGAAATAACGTTTAGTTGACCTTGATACAAAGGAAATTATGAGATGGTAATGTGACACTCATGACTGATTCATCACAAGTTGAGGACTTCATGGAGTGTTTTGTACTGTGGTAGCCTGGGTTTGATCCCACATCAGATCATATTTTATTTGGGGTGGACAAAATGGCACTGGTGCAGGTTTCCTCTGAGTACTTTGGTTTCCTGTGCCAGTTGTCATTCTGCCAAATGCTCCATATTCATCTGTCATCCAGGGCTGGTACAGTGGGCCAATTAGTGGCAGATGAACCAAGCAGACTCGGGGCCCATCCCACCCACCCCATGAATCTGGGAGGGGGCACTACTTGCAAGTTTAAAGTAAATGAAATGCTACTTTAATTAGTGTAAAGAAATTTTCAGACCCACCAATTTATGAATATTTAACAGCAGCCTTTATTTATGTATAAAATGGCTGATTGTTTGCTCGATGCCTCTCCTGCTGAACGTAACTGGATGCTGGTCTGTGTTGGAATATTGGATCCATCCTTGTAGGACTGTGAGGACATATTCGTTAGTATCCTTCACATGTTGAGTGCTATTCATTGTGATTTGGGCGAACCTAATTGAAATCAGTTGCAAGTGTAACAAGTGGGTTAATTTAGATGAAGTCTGGTGTTTTTAAATTTGATAAAGGATTTCAGCACAGGTAGACATGCATGACTTAGTGTTCATAAAGGCCCACCCCACCCCACCTTCTTCTAAGAGTCTGTAGTCTAGTGAGTTGAGGCCAGCAGCAATAAGCCTCTCCATTAATACATGATAGCAGATTTAGTGCCATGGGAGAGCTGCAGGCAGTGTGGGGTGATTGCATAGCAGGTAATATAGTTATGTCTGTTTCAAAGCCTGTTTTGGTAAGGATGTTTCTGATTAATATCTGTATTGTTGACTGTTAGTATAATAATATCTACATATTCTATACATATTTGTAAAGGTAATTTATTCCTTTGTCACTCACCAATAAAGGGATCTTAAAATCATGAAATAACTTACTTGGCACACATTTAAGAACAAGGGTGTAAGTGATGCTGTTTTAGAATGCTCTCTGTTTCTTCATACTGAAGTAATGCTAACTAGCTAACATGATAAAAAGAAATGATCGATGTTCGGTGGTAGTGGAGGAGGGGTTGAGATGCGATGCGACTTTGCTTTGACTTTCCTGTAGACAGTAATGGCTGAGCACTAAAGTGAGTGAGCCTGATAGACCTCGGAGCAGTTGGAAAGAGCTTCCACAGCAATTAATTGAATGTCAGTAAGGGAAGCATCAAAAGAATATCTTATTCCTAAGAGGACATTAAAAAAGTTGTGTCTTCTGGAATTGTTAACAGTAAAATTAGGTGACTTCTGTGTTGACAAACATTTGGAAAGAGAACTTTGTTTCAGTAATTATAGGCTTACAGATGTTGGTGTGCCTTTAACAAGCAAAATTTCCAGAGAAGAAATGTGTTCCCATATTGCAAGTGTGTTCACATATATTGCACACTGTGGTCAAATGTTGTAAAATGGACATGAATAGGAGTCCCCTTTTTTAATGAGGATAATAAGTTTCTAGTAGAACATGGTTAAGATTGTGTTAAAATGTCACCCAGATGCAGCATCAGAAAAGACACAATATATATTAGGGGAGAGCAGCTAAAATGAACAAATTTGTTGTGAGTGACTAGTTTGAAAAGTAAATGCAGGTGTTGGAGAATTACAAGATGGACAAGAAAGGACCTCATGCAAGCAAATAGATGTTATGCTAAAATGAGCTGAAATGAGTGCAGTGCAGCATATGGAGAGTGTTGGTTATGTTGTGTGTGGATTTGTGCATGGGCAGAGCCCAACTTTTCAAGGGTTTTCACAAGGGAATAAATTGGAGTCAGAATGAACAAACATGCTTCAGCTTTGAATTGACTGAGAACTGATCAGTTATTGCAAGAATTATGTATATGAGGAACGTACAGCATTAAAAACAATTGAAGCACTAGGAAAAAGCTGTGTTAATGTTTTTTCATGGTGGCAAGTTGCACCTTTGTAGATGTTGCTGAAGAAAATTAACTCTCGTTCTTGCCTTCGGTGCACACCTGAGTTAAGCCTTTGAACAACCAATTTGATAATTTATGGGAAGAAGAAGTGCTAAAGTACAGGACAGCTGAAATTGTTAAAATGATAACACGTGGAATTTGCATCATTATTTTCTGAGGTGTAGCACAAATTTCAGATTTACCAGTCTTACTGCAGGTTTCAGAAGTACACTTGTACCTTGTATACCCACACAACCTACTCCGTGTTAACAGAACTGCTTGACAAGAGAATTAATATTGCACCACCTAATTATGATACTGCTGATTCTGATGAGAGTAACTCCAGTGACGGTGACCTGGTGTCTTAAGCTTCTGAAGTACAGACTTATTCAAATAAAACAGAAGATTGCCTACAGTTATGACTGCTCTACCTTGAATGTTGTTCGAATGTTAAGTTTATTGAAGAACATGCACTATGTTGGCCAGCAGTTTGTTTCCAAACAACTTGCATGTACTGGATGATTAGAAAATCTGCTTAATTTTCAGTTTTATTGTATTATGCAACTGTAATTAGACAGGGTCTGGATTGTTAGGCATACAGGCTGTTGTATATTTCCATATGCTTGAATTCTTTTATGGAGTAGAATCTATGATGAAATTATATGAACTTACATGACAGAATTGATAAATGTAGATCTTTATCTATGATTATATGAAATTAGAGCAATGAGTGAAGGATCAAATGACTTGAGAATGCAGTACTGTTAATCATTCAGAACAGTAGGATATACATGTCCACTTTAAAGAGAATGGTCTAAGTTACATATTGCAGATACTGGTTGCTTTTGTAATTGTGAGAGAACCGCGTGTAAAATGCCTCCACAGCATCTAGAGCAGCTCTGGAGCCCCGCCCAGCCACCTGTGTATGATGATACTAGGGGATCATCCCCCAAGGGTATAATGACTGGAGATCGAAGCAGACCACTCACATCTCTTTAGTGCCGAGTTTAAGAATGCATGCACATACTTCCTCTCTCTCATACATCTTGGTGTGGTGGTTAATTAAGTACAGGGACAGTTTTACCTTTTACATGCTAAACACAGTTGCGGTGGAGTAGGCCACACACTGTAATTGTAATTGTAATTGTAATTGATTTCGAGTTCCAGATGATCCAATAAAACTGGTTACAAACCATAGGATATAGAACATGTGGATGACGTTACACTATAGCTACACTGATGATTTGTATTTTACTGTAAAATAAAATTAGGAAAGCATACATTTATGATAAATTTACAAACAACAAGGAAAGTTGTTAATAAGGCAGCTGCACACTTTACAGGACAACTGTTGTGTATGATCATCGAACAGGGGCTGGTATAGTGAGTTATAACCACTATGATGAACCTTATTCAAGTGAAATTTTATTTGTATATGAAGAACACCAATTTCTGTACAGTGGGCAAACGTTTGAAGAAGAATTAATGTGTAATGTGCAAGGTTGAGGTAGAAGTTAGAATGAAATGACTATTATACATGTATATTGCGTTGTTGTTATGATACAGTTTTCACACTTATAAAATAGAGACTGAATAATATAAGAGATCCTGCAGTACAATGCATAAGCTATAGTTATAGTAATATTCATGGGAGAAATTAATTGCATGTGCTACAATTAACATTCTCTTAATTAAAAGTCTGAGTGTTTGTTACTGCCTCATGGAATATCTGTTGCTTCCTCTGTGGTCCTATCTTTCCTTTTGCAGATGTTAAAGCACAGACCCTCGCAAACATCTGGAAATCTTGCGATAATATGGAAGACTGATCTTGATTAATTTTATAAATAATGAAATACTACTTTCCTTAGTGCTTTCTTCTTTTATTAGTAGCAGTATACAAGGAATTCAGACAAAATGAAAATGTTTGAACAAATGCATGTCAAAGGAATACTGTTTTGCACTGAATGAGTTCTTGTCTTTTTGCTTCTGTAGCCAGTGACCATTGTATTCCATCAGCTTTTGAGTTCGAGCCACATTGTTGGCAAACAGTTTGGCGACTGCAGTTTTGGCTGAAATGTTGCAGTGATTTTGACGAAGTTGCTCCAACCTGAAAACTGATATCATACATTTAATTAACATTGTTTCTCTGTGGTTTATTTTGCAATATATTGAAATAATAGGAGATGAATTGTAGTGTACAATTTAGCAGTTGCTCTTGGTTTATTTGAGCTCCCCATGTATAATCTCTACTTGATGTCACATAGAACACAATTGTCAGGCAACATTCTTGTAAAACTAACAGAATATTGACTTTTTTTCTGATTGTAATGACATTTAAGTATATGTTTTGAAGCTTTCACATCAAGTATATGCAATGAAATTCTCTTGGGCGATCATCCTTATTAATATGGAGCTGGTGCCCAATGTTTCAGAGGCTGTCTCAGTCTTTCTGTAACCAGGGGTTGAATACCTGGCCACAAACTAGATGACAAAGGATAGAGAACTGTTAGAAAACATTCAAATGAAGACAAATGACAAGCAACGTATATTGTGATGACTGCACCGACTGTTTGCAAAGTAGTCTGTGCTGCTTTGGGACACCACTGACATGTGATTCTGCCAGTGTTTCCTGAGCAATATATATATATGCTGGGACAGCTGAGAGTATATTCTGTGGTGTAAGTGTGGTGTGTGGATGCAGTGCTCACCACATTTCCCTCAGCGATGGAGACATCTGAAAATGTTGGACATCAACTCCATGTGATGTGGCTGATTACCTGAGAATATGCTTCACTGCATAACATTTGAGGTTTACATGGTGGTGAAGATTTAAATTGTAGTCTTTGGGGTTATGACACTCTGGGGTCTCATAGGTGGATACCAGCAGTCTTGGAGGACCATACTTCCTCTATATTCTACCCTGAAGATGGAGACAGTAAGTTTGTCCAAAACATTGGTATCCATATATCATACTATATGATGTCAGAAGGCCACACAAATTATGAATACAGTTGTAATTTTCTTGTTGTTCAGTTGTTTGGGAATAGAGATTGTAACTGTGAAACAGCAACAACATGACTTCAAATTATGTTAAATCAAAGTTTTGCTGAATGGTATGAAAGGAGCAGTGTTGATGGGTCCATAGAAAGTGTAAGCATCATGTAATCAATATATCATCGTAAAATCTGTACAGAGGCTAGATAGATGTACATACATAATGTTCTGGTCATATTTCATTATGATATGTAACTTCTTTGCTTTAATTAGTTGATAGTTTGAAACCAATTTATATGTGGACTGTTACATGTTTAAGTGTACTTCATTTTTGTCACCGTTATTTTATAGGCGTGAAATTAAAGAAACTTGATTTCTGTTGATTGGTCTTTTTGTCACCATATATAAATACCTTCCTATGCCCGAGGTAATCCATGTGATGCTTTGAGCATGAAGCTGCCACTAACTTGACTTAACACTCTTAAGTTGGTGCAACTTTCTGTTCCATCTTCCAAGTTTACATATAGAGGATTGCTTGTATAGATTCTTGAACTTTTTTTCATCCAGCAAAGGACGGTTATATACGCAAATGTTTTTAGTTTATTGACTATTCTGTTTAGGCCCCCTTTTATAAGATCAGGTAGTCATGTGCCTTCATCTTGGCCATTTATAATTTGAACAGGATTGGTTACAGGGCATTCTGGAGTGCATGTTCAGTGTAACAACTCTTGGGATGCATATACCTTGATGGCATGTTCAAATTAATAATGGAGCGGAGTACTTTACAATTTATACATCTGGTATGTGCACCGTGTGTATTAGTGTACTATGTTGAGAACCACTGTATGACTACTGTATTTTCAATTGTGTTGTTGCGGTTAGCTACCACGAGCATGAGGACATCACTAAAAATCTTTATTATTTAGCTTGTAAGGTTAAGGAACTTAGATGTCTCCTATGTAAAACTTATTATTTCTACCTGTTAAGAGTTAATAGCCTGCCAGTGATAGTGCACAAATACTGAACACCCTACTTAGCAGTTTATTAAGGTTGCATGTTGTCTGTTTATGAAATTAGGTAACAATTCTAAGTATGTATGTAAATGTCTGTCTGTGGCTTTTAAGTAAAGTGGATTTCACTGTGGGTTAGTATGGCTTAAGGTTGATGGTGGTGTCAACATACAGGGAGGGTTGATCACATTAAATATACAAAAAAAAAAAATGTTGAGTGATAGTTGCCTATACCAAGATTGTTATGTAATGTATTGTTATTTTGTCTAATAATAATAAAAATTAGAATTACCTGACTACTATTAATGAACCCCCCCATTGTTAGTTTCTAAAAGAAATTTGTCCAGTGGTTTAGGTAACGGTAATGGTTTGTACATGGACAAGGACATGACGTCCATGTGAGTGTTTCTTTTTTACTTTTTAAAAGCATGAAAAAAAGATACTGTATTTCATGAATATGCTGTATCCCCTTTCAACTCATGAACCACTTGCTGGTGCATGTTGTTTGCTTGGCTTACTCTTTGGCACGGAAGTCAGTATCATCTACCAGATTATATGGCATGGAAAATGGTACCCGTCATAGTCACTGTGAACAGAATTCAACATGTAACATGTATTATTAATATTTCTAGGTTTGACACCTACCAGGAATATAACAAATTTCTTTTGCAATGTAAAGAAATAGGATGAGATGGTATTGATTGGATTGATCTGGCTCAGGATAGTTACCAGTGGAGGGCTTTTGTGAACATGGTAATGAACCTTCGGGTTCCATAAAATGCTGGGAAATTCTTGAGTAACTGCAGAAGTGGCGGCTCCTCCAGAAGGGTTCAGCTCCATGAGTAAGTGAGGAAGTAATGTAAATGACTCAATGCTGGTAGATATGTGCCCCCCCCCCAAATCTTTCCATGCACAAAAGATTTGAGTGTCAAGCTGATAAATATAGTCTAGATACCGAAACCATACCACACCGTGATGTAGTGAAGAGTGGTCAAGAACACTTTCGTAGACTGATTTTGTAATGATTTTCGACTATTTGTGATGATGGAAGACGGAATAGTAAACGTGGAGTTGAATACCATTAACCTTACCGATTGAGCTACTGCTTCAATCACAGCTAGCAAATATGATTCATAGATGACAGTTCAGATCTTCTCTAATATCCTGATAGTTCTGTTGTGCATCTGTAGGGTTGGGTGGTTGTGCCAAATAAACCATAGAATACAAATCGTAAATCGTGGTTGAAAGTGGTTGGAAGCTTATAACCCTAATAAGTGGGCTAAGTGGGTGTAACTGTCTTAGCGTGTGTTGGAAGAGAAATCTTAGTGATGCCCGGCGATCAGGAAATTAAGAAACAGAAAACTGTAAGTACGAATTAACGTGTGAGAAGGTGGGAAGACTAACGACTTCATGATCTCAGTTGTTATTTGTTAATTGATTTATGAATTTTGTAAATGTCATTTAGTGACCAGACGGTATTACTCTTGACTACGCCCATTATGTTTCTGTTTTTATTTGTTAGGTGGCGTATGTTTCGTGAGGATAAAGGATGTCAAATCAATTTTAAACCTTTAAAAAATGAATATTTTATGTTCTGTTGTTTGGAACTAAATTCATTACGTAACAATTATTTAAAAGGTGCCAGTTTGACTGAGGGATTATATGTTCTGTATTCGTTTAGCGGTTAGTGTTGCTCTTACATCAGCCAAACCTGCTTAATCTTTTACTACTGAACTAGGGTTTAATTTAGGTATTAACCATTACAAAAATTTGTATTCTAACCTACATATTGTGGGTGTACCATATAATTTATTTATTTATTTCATATCCATGGATCATTGTACATGATATAGGACAAGTCAAATACTTTACAATACAGTAAGTAATAATAATAATA